CCCAAAATTGTGGAATCTGGGAAAATAAGAGTATGTGGAATGTGGAATATCAGTATGGCCATTTTTGGAAAATAAAACATGCCAGAATCCAGTGTATGTTGAGTAACCTACTTAGAAAGCATCCATGGGTATAAACAGCCTGAGCCCTTGCCTTACCTCTGAGAAACAACTATTATTTCCTAATTAAAATATAAGACAAATTGGCTTGGCTCTCACGCTCAGGGGTTAGGGTGCCGGCCATATACACTGGGGCTGGTGGCTTGGAACCCGGTCTGGGCCTGCTAAGCAACAACAACTACAACAACAGCAAAAATAGCTGGACGTTGTTGTGGCAGGCACCTGTAGTCCTAGCTACTAGGGAGGCTGAGGTAAGAGAATCACTTACGCCCAAGAGTTTGAGGTTACTGTGAGCTGTGAAACCACAGCACTCTACCCAGGGCAACATAGTGAGACTCGCTCTCAAAAAAAGAAAAAAAAGAAAAAGAAAGAAAAAAAGAAAATATGAAACAAGTAATTGATTTAGAGATAATATTCTCTTTTGCAGATGAAAGAATTATATGAGGGATACTGGGGAAAGTTTTGAGATAAACAATAATTAAGAAATGTAAAATCATATTGATTATTATATTTTTTCAAAATAATCATTGTGACATTGTATGCAATTTTGCCTTCTTATAAACCGTTTTTGAGATGTGTGAAGTTACCTTGTTTTCTTTATTTTTTTGAGATAACAGTCTCTCTTGGTCATGCTTGATAGAGTGCCGAGGCATCTTAGCTCACAGTAACCTCAAACTCTTGGGTTCAAAGTGATTTTCTTGCCTCCACCTCACAAGTAGCTGGGACTATAGGTGCCTGCCACAGTGCCTGCCTATTTTTTAGAGGGGGGGTCTCGCTTTGCTCAGGTTGTCTCGGACTTGTGAACTCAGGCAATCCACCTGCCTCTGCCTCCTACATGTTGAGAGTACAGGTGTGAGCCACTGTGCCTGGTCCTTGTTTTTCTTTTCTTTTTTTTTTTGTTGAGACAGATGCTCACCCTGTGTCCTGAGCAGAGTGCAGTGGCATTATCAAAGTTCATTGCAACCTTGGAGATGGGCTGCAGGAATACTGCTGCCTCAGCCTCCCAAGTTGCTGGGATTACAGGTGCTTGCCATAGCACCTGGCCAGGTTTTTTTTTTTTATGTGGAGTCAGGGTCTTACTCTTGCTCAGATAAGTCTCAAACTCCTGAGCTGAAGCAATCCATTCACCTCAGCCTCCTACAGTGCTAGAATTACAGGTGTGAGCCACCGTGCTTGGCTTTTGAAAACACTCTTTCCATTCATTTTCTTCAAATGCTGTAGGCATGAACAGCTTCTTCAGAGCTGGAAAACCTTTAGTGCGTGTGATTTTTTTATTGTAGGGAACAGAAAATAATCTCATGGGGCGAGGTCAGGCCTGCAAGGTGGATGAGTCATGAGTTTAACCTCTGTGGATCCAGGAACTCAATGGTGATATTGGGTGTGTGGGCTGATGCATTGTAATGGTGCAAGATGGTCTCCACAGTCTTGTCTTGGGCTGGCCTTGAAGCTTTCTGAAAACTTTTGGTAGGCATGCTGTTGGGTTCCACTGAGCAGTGAACAAGCTTTTGTTTCCCCAGAGGAACAGTTGCAACATGACCCACCCCTTTTAGAGAAGAAAGTTGCTACCATTTTCTTTCCAACACTTTGGGGCTGCTTCACTTTTGTTGGTGGATTTTCATCATGGAAAAAAATCCACACTGTTGATGGATTGCTAATTCTCTGGATCAAACTGGTAACAGTAATGATGTTGGCCAGGGTGTCACCAGCCTGTAATCTCAGCATTCTGGGAGGCTGAGGCTGGTGGATCACTTGTGCTCAGGAGTTTGAGACCAACCTGAGCAAGAGCAAGACCCTGTCTCTAAAAAACTAGCTAGGTGTCACAGAGGGTACCTGTAGTCCCAGAATGAGGCAAGAGGATCACTTGAGTCCAGGAGTTAGAGATTAATGTGAGTTGTGACATCACAGCCTTCTAGCCTGGGGCAACAGAGTGAGACCCAGTCTCCAAAACAAGAAAACAGTAACAGTCTCAGAAATGAGTCTAGGGCTGGGTGCTGTGACTCAGGCCTGTAATCCTAGCACTCTGGGAGGCCGAGGTGGGTGGATTGCTTGAGCTCACAGGTTGGAGATTAGCCTGAGCAAGAATGAGACCCTGTCTCTAAAAAAATAGCCAGGAGTTATGTCAGGTACCTGTAGTCCCAGATTCTCCAGAGCTGAGGTAAGAGAATCTTTTGAGTCCAAGAGTTTGAGGTTTTTGTGAGCTGTGGTGCTATGGCACTCCACCAAGGATGACAAAGTGAGACTCTATCTCAAAAAAAAAAAAAAAAGAAATGGGTGTAAATTTGCCTGCATCTAATCTGACCAGCATTTCTTTATAACAGACAATACTGATGCACTTATTTTCATCTGTCAAAGTGTGAGGCACCCATTGGATGAAACTTTCTCCATCTAAATATAATTGTGCAGGATTTCTGACACTGCTGGTGACACAGTCTATAGTGCTGCTTCATTGTCCTTAGATATCACTCGATTGTTTTTGCAAATCAACCTATCCACAGTGGTGATGTTTTCTTTCACCACAGTCACCAGAGGCTCTCTGCTTTCCTTATGAAATTTGGCCTCTTCTAAATTCTTGAAACCACTGAAAAATTGTCATGTGGGAAGGAGTAAGGTCCCTGAAAGCACATTGCAAACACTCAAAACTTTGAGATTCGTTTAACACACTTTTCTTTTCTCTCTTTTTTTTTTTTTTTGTTTTTTTGAGACAGAGTCTTAAACTGCCACCCTGGGTGCCATGGCATCATAGCTTACAGTAACCTCCAACTCAGGCTCCAGCGAGCCTCTTGTCTCAGTTTTTCTATTTTTTTCTTTTTTTGAGACAGAGTCTCACTGTGTCGCCCTCAGTAGAGTGCTGTGGCATCACAGCTCACAGCAACCTCAAATTCTTGGGCTTAAGTGATTCTCTTGCCTCAGCCTTCCGAGTAGCTGGGACTACAGGCGCCCACCACAATGCTTGGCTATTTTTTTTTTTTGGTTGTAGTCGTCATTGTTTAGTAGGCCCCTGCCAGGCTCGAACCTGCCAGCCTCGGTGTATGTGGCCTGCACCCTACTCACTGAGCTATAGGCACTGAGCCAGGTTTTCTATTTTTAGTAGAGATGGGGTCTCACTTTTGCTCAGGCTGGTTTCAAAATCATAAGATCTAGCAATCCACTTGCCTCAGCCTTCCACGGTGCTAGGATTACAGGCGTGAGCCATCACACCTGTACAACCCACTTTTCAAATCAGAAAATCATCACTGTATGAAAGTGCTCTCTTCCCGGCTCCATAGCTGATGATGACTGAGTGCTACATGGATAGAATTAAACGACGCCCTCCCAACAACACTGAAAAGCCAAGCAAGGTGAAACTTGCATGGGTGAATGAGAAAGGATGTTACTGTTGACTGTATTTCTTGGAAGTGAAAATAATGGACCATAATATAGTCTGTCTCAAAACTTTTTAGTGGCCTTTGTAAAGAGGCATCTTTTAATGCAGAATAGCAATAAATAATTAAGAAGTTACTGGTACCCGGGAGGATTAACTTTGTCCCTCAGAGGTGGTAGTAAAACGAATTATTGAGATATACTTTATTCAAATTTATTCTGTCCTCTTGACTTAGGCTTTTTTCTCATTGAAATAATTTTATGAATTGTATTTATAGTATTTATGTATTTATGGTTGTATTTCATACTGTGCTTATTATGTATTTTGTAGGTTAAACTCAAAACTGAATCATTTATAACTTCATTTTAACATGAAAATTAGGTATTTAAAGTGCTGAAAAACTGATATCAGACTTGTGGTTATAACCCATGCATTCATTTTTGTTTACTCAGCTACATACTTTGGATATAAAAAGAGATTCACCTTTTATAATAAATAAAGGTGAATAAGGCAGGAACTTCTCCTTAAGGAGTGCTACAATCTGGAGCAAAAGACAGACATATAGACAAATGACTATAATGTTGCATAATATGTATAATATAAATAATATAAATGTACCAAATACTAAAACCCAGAGAAGGAAATGCCATGATGTGGGGGTGAGGGTTATGTGGATAACAGAATAATTTTGAGAAGAAACTGGAGTACAGTACTTCACAAGGGAGAAAGGGGGGGGGGAGGGAATTCTAGATTGTGGGAGTAGTACATGCAAAGATATAGAGCAGTGGTTCTCAACCTTCCTGATGCCGCGGCCCTTTGATACAATTCCTATGGGTCATGACCCACAGGTTGAGAACCTCTGATCTAGAGATATAAAATAATATGACATGTGTAAAGAAGTTTGAGTAAATGTATATAGTTGGGTTATAGAGTTTTTGATGTGTGGGTAATGTGAATGAGCCCAGATTGTAAAGAGTTTTATCTGTAAGGAACAGGTACTGTCAGGCTAGCTCAGTTGGTAGAGCGTGCGATCTTAGAAGCAATGGGTGCCCTTGTTGAATGTATAGCTTAGGAATGAGAAGTTCTATAGGTTTGTTCTTAAGTTGAATTTGTATGTAAAAAGTTGGAACAGGTATATTTATCTATTATGTGTAATAGCCTCTGTTCGTAAGTGCGAATTGTACATAAGTTAGATATTTGTAACTCAAGCTGCCTATATTTTGAGAATTGGAGCCACAATTAGATTTATGCATTAGAGAACTCTGAGGTGAGCATTTGAAAGATTAGAAGAGACTGCAGGCAGAGAATAGTTAAGAACTGACATGATTCTTTATTTATCTACCTTTGTACTCAATGAGAGGTGTTTTATAAAATTATGTTTAATTATGTATAAATTAAGAATTGAATTTAAAACTCTTTAAAAACTGTTAGCAAAATATTAATATGGGATAATGTAATGGTTCTGCTAGCTGATTCAGCTCTTAGACATAGTTTGATTAAATTTATTATTTTTTCATCCTAGTTTCAGATAAGAAAGATGTTAAATGCAAAAACAGAAGATGTTCATGTTCAATCACCACTGTACAAATTGAGACGCTCAGAATGCTGGGATCTCCCTTTGAAGGGGGTAAATAAAATTACAATTTTTAAAGTATCTACTTTTATTTGTTGTGTTTTAAAATATATTTCAGTAAAACTGAATTTTTAGTTTTGTATGTGCCTTTTTTTTTCTGCTTTTCTTGTGTTAATTGCAGATTTTAAGTGAGTTTATTTTTTATTTGTATGTCAAAGCATATATATCCAAGTATCATTGAACATATTTCAAGTTGAACTGGTACTTTGAGGTAGGGTCTTGTTCATTTTAAATCTAAGTATATATTATTATTTATGGTTGATTTCTTCATGAAATTTAAATCTCATTATGGTAAAATAAATTATATTTTAAGCCTACTAAAATTTTAAGCTTGTAGAATAATCTGTTTGCTTTTTGCCTGTTTTTTTAAGTTTGAGAGAGCATCTTTTAATGGGTAACAACTATATTTCAAAAGATATTCTCATCTTAAGTCTGGACTTTAATTGCTGTTAAGCATTATTATAGGGCTCTGAAGGATAAGGCTTAACAGCACCTTTTTTTCCCTAAGATAATACTTCAACTATTATTTTCTCTTGTCTAGAACAATTCATTGTCAATTTTTTTTTTTTTTTGAGACAGAGTCTCACTATGTTACCTTTAGTAGAGTGTTGTGGCGTGACAGCTCACAGCAACCTCAAACTCTTGGGCTTAAATGATTTTCTTGCCTCAGCCTCCCAAGTAGCTGGGACTACAGGCACCTACCACAGCGCCCGGGTATTTTTTTCTTTTTTATTGCAGTTGTCATTGTTGTTTAACTGGCTGGGTCTGGGTTCAAACCTGCCAGCCTCGGTGCATGTGGCCAGCACTGTAACCACTGTGCTACGGGCGCTGAGCCTAAATTAACCATTTTTAAAAACTTGTTCTTAGCGGCCAGGCACGGTGGCTCACGCTTATAATCACACTTATAATCCTAGCCCTCTGGGAGGCTGAGGCAGGTAGATTGTTTGTGCTCACAGATTCGAGATCAGCCTGAGCTAGAGTGAGACCTCCTCTCTAAAAATAGCCAGGCATTGTAATGGGAGTGTGTAGTGTGGTGGGTGCCTGTAGTTCCAGCTACTTAGGAGGTTGAGGCAAGAGAATCACTTGAGCCCAAA